TTTTTACCAATAGTTTCTGCTCAGTTCCGATCAAAAAGTAGGCGCCACACTCATCTCCTGTAACTTCAGAGCCCTCAGCGATCAAAATATAGAACGTGCTCTTGAATGAACGCTGGCAGTAGATGCCACAGAAGGCGATCTCATCTTGCCACCCCTTATTTTGCGATCCTCTGAGGCCGTGCAACTCACAGATCCAGGGTTTTGCCGCAGGTTCATCTTCTCCAGCATAGCTGACATAGTTGTGGTTGTCTGAATAGGAGCTTGTAAAGGCATCATCGGCGACGTGCTTGTGTTTGTCCGAGAGATAGAACGAGAGATGCTGCTGGTTGAAGACTTTAGGGTGTGGCTAGGTTGCTAGGTAGTAGGTTTGGCTATCGTGGCGCGAGAGTTCGAGCCAATGATATTGAGTTGATTTGCCACACGTGAGGGCGATGAAGAGTGACTAGATGGAGGAGTAGAAAGTGAAGGCACGGGAGGCTGGTCACGACCATAGGTAGCCACCATATTTTCAAAATTGAGCCTTGCACGCGACATCCTGCTAAGGCGTGAAATGGCGCGAATATTGTTCGTCATGTATGGAGACATTCGCTTCACCGCGACGGCATTGTCGTGTGACTCGATAGCAGGAAACCCGTTCGATGTAGCTCTACCTCGTGCAAAATGTTGCTCGGTCAGATCCCTTGATCGTGCGCTGGGCGTTGGTGTCCTATTCATACTTTGCTGGATCTGATTGATAACGTCATCGAACTCAATAGCATAAGTTTCGAAATAACGTGGGTACTTTTTGGATGTAAGATCGTTTATAGGAGCAGAGTTTCGAGCGGAGTTGGGGGTTGCTCGGAAGATTCATGACAACATCAACTATGATGCACTACTTGCGAGGTATAAGACCTTTTCGTGGTGTAACAGAAGGATGAACCAACCAGCCTGGCAGAGGGGGAGAATCCAGCCTTGGAACATGTGGAGCCGGTATGATTGTGACATTGTTTCTCCGTTGGCGTGCTTGAGACGACAATAGGTCAGTGCTACTATGCGGGAGACTTTACAAAGATCGAGTTGTTTGAATTGAATCTGTTCTGCGGAAGACCGGGTAGGTATTGATCCCGGCTGTCTGCGGTGAGATTGTTCAGTGGAAAACGGAGAGAGTTTGGCAAGAAACTCCCTATCAAGTCTCACAATCCGATTGAGACGCTACCTGTTTGTGCCTCTCCATTATATCATAATAAGCTCGGGAAAGCTGATGCGCCAGAATGGCGATCGGGCCAAGTGTTTTAAGTGCTCAAATTGTATGAAAGGTGCCTTTCGGTGGCGTAGGCTTGAGCAGGGCCGGACATTTGGCGAGTTCAACAAAAGCCGACCGGTCCTCCATGGTACAAGGGAGAGGTATGAACGGGTAATGGCCAAACCTTTTCGGCCATCGGAGTACTACAGAACACTGCACTCAGATCTCCAGGAACAAAGCAGCGTTCTAAGGCAAACAGAAATCGACAGCTAAACATCTGCTAGATGAGTACATCGAGATAGACTACGGATTCGAACAGAGTAGAGGCATTTATTCTATTAGTAACAGGTAAGTGTGTATATCTGAAATATGGGAGACTGATACTGCCAAGAATTTTAAAAACGGATCGGATACTCTTAGAGTCGTTAAAACAAAGTTCTCACCTCGGCAACCTGGTGAACCTCACAACATAAGTTGAGCAGCCGTGGAGCTTTGATAAACCGTCCATTGAGTCCGGAATACTTTTGACGTGCCTTTTGCCAGCAAAAATCGACCCGGAGGAAGGGGTACCAAGCTTGGGAAGGCTGGAGAGCTTGATTCCGCCCAAAACTAATATTCGCGATGTCCGACAGGAGCATAGCACCGGCGCCATTATATGAAAGGGTTGGGCGGATCTGGTCCCAATATTTCGATGGCATCCATTGCCATACAGGCTGCCCATTCTCACATTTTCGAACAAGCCTCTGCCATCACGTATCTGCCTCGGATTGCCCAAGTTGCTGTCACCCAACTAGCGTTAAAAATAGCTGAGCTCGAGGCTCATAGCAGATACATTTCTGATCCGTATGATAAGCGAATAGTTGCCAGGAGCATAAATATAATAGATCAATCAACAGCATAGATGATAAAGGAAAGAAGAGAAAGAGAAGTCTGGGTTGTGAAGGTGAGTCGTTCCAGCGAAGTGAAGCCTGAGACGCCGCTAACTTTGCCGAGCCACGCCATGGACAGGCTTTTCCCACTGCGGAAGGCGCTACCTATTTCCATCTTCTGCCCGAGTCCCGGGACGGCAGCTGGAAATGATCACCACAGTCTGCTCTGAGACACTCTTCGGGCGTTGCATGGTGGCGCGGGCACATGTTTTCCAAGCACTGTGTCCTGTAGCACCAAGACCCCTATCCTCTGGCGAGCTTTTTGTATCACAGAATGCATTCAAAGCAGGATGGCGATGAGCTGTTCACTCATCACTGGAATATATTTCCTCACTGGGAAAATGGTCCGGGTTTCGAGTCCAAGAAGTACTTACAAGCACCATGGGCCTCCTCCCCGCATTGCCGAGGCCTGGTCTTCAGCATCTGCTGATAGCGGAGAACCAGGGCCGGATCAAGGATCTTCACTCCCGAATGCGACTCTAGCTAACGGTATGTTATGCTTTCTTTCCTCACTCTTATTCTCTCTTGCTACTGTACTCATATACACTACTTTATTTTTGGTTATCCAGTATCGTTATCACGAAAGTTTGTGAGCCAGACGCCCAGCATGGTGGGGTTGAGATGGCCGACACCCATCGTAGTGGGGGTCGGCGATATCAAAAATCACTCCCTGAAGGTCGAAGATGCCGTCGAGCCGATGCAGTTGATGCTCCAAGCAATTTTCAGTGCAATCCAAGATACACAACTGTCTCCTTCTGCAGCGAAAGAACTGCAGTCGAAGATTGACAGTGTGGGCGTGGTCAATACTTGGACGTGGGTTTATCCCGATTTGCCAGGGCTCATTTCCGAGAAATTGGGCGTGAAGCCAAAGCATCAGGTGCTAAGTCATCATGGGGGTGACTCGCCGGCCAAATTGTTTGATGAGGCTGCGAGGAGAATTTCTTTGGGACAAAGTAAGGTGGCGATTGTGACGGGTGGGGAGGCGTTGGCATCGTGTACGTTTTCTCCGGTTGGGTTTGGGAAATGCTAATTTTTGAAGTGGGCGCATGTGCTGCTGCTGGAAAGTTGCCTCCCCCTGGATGGACGAGGCCTGACGAGACTGGCAAGGGAGTGTCTGTTTCTGATGTGTCGAGGTTTGGAGAAAGTATGAATTTCTGATGATTAATCGAGCTCGTACTTACTTTCGTAGATCTTGGGACCCTTCATTCAGTGGGGTTACCGATTCATGTGTATCCATTGTATGAGAATGCATTCAGAGCACAACGTGGACAGTCAATACAGGAAAATAATCATGAGTCCGCTGAGCTGTACGCGGACTTTGCGAAAATTGCGGAGAAGAATCCATTGGCATGGAATTATAGCAAACCTGCTGCTACTGAAGAGGCCATTGGGACTGTTTCGAAGAAAAATAGGATGATATGCTTTCCATGTGCGTATTCCTTGGGTCATTGGACAAGTCTAATTGGGATAGATCCTCTTTTGATGAACGCATTCAACAATGTCAACTTAGCCGCGGCATGTATCTTGACCTCGACGGACTATGCAAGAGAACTTGGGATTCCTGAAGATCGTTGGATATATCCACTTGGTGGAGCGGGATCGAGTGACAGTGTAAATTGTAAGTACTATTGTCAAATCCATGTCCCTTTACTGATGTGTTATAGTTTGGGAGAGGCCGAATTATTATTCGAGCCCTGCGATATCGAGATCGCTTGACGAAGGACTGAAGTCCTCAGGACTCACAAAAGAGCAAATAGACATCTATGATTTCTACTCGTATGTCTTTCCAACTCTTCTTATGGAATTTCTGACGCCTCTAGATGTTTTCCCATCGTACCAAAACTTGCATGTCAGCATCTTGGCCTCTCAATGACGAAGCAATCAAAACCCATCACACTCCTAGGAGGCCTGACTTCCTTCGGAGGAGCAGGAAATAATTACTCAATGCATGTATGTATCTCTTTTGCTATCATGTGATTTATTGACCTCGATGCAGGCCTTAATTGAAATGGTACGAGAGCTCCAGAAAGGGAAAGCTCAAAACGGGCTGGTTCTTGCGAATGGAGGCGTGGTGACATATCAATACGTCGTCTGCCTCTCAAACAAACCTCGAAACTCTCCCTATCCGGATCGCAATCCACTTCCTGATCTTTTGGACGATGAGCCAGTTCCGACTGTGGCTGAGAAAGCGAAGGGAGAGGCAATGATAGAGGTGAGTTTTCCGATCTATTGAGGGCTGGGCTGACCTTCCAGACATATACTGTTGAATTCAATCGTGATGGAAGTCCTGCACGAGGTTATATTGTTGGAAGATTAAAAGAAAATGGACATCGCTTTCTTGCAAATGAAGGGGATCAGAATACGCTGGTGCAACTGGCGGGGGGTGTGAAGGAGCAGGTGGGGAGGAACGGGGTTGTGAGTGTTGGAGATGATGGGAGGAATTTGTTTGTATTTAAGGAGGTTGGAAAGTTATGAGGGCTTTGATGGGATAGAATATTGGAAGCAGATTCTTTGTGTGGCCTGGGATCTGCAGGCGTTCATCCCCGTCGTCTGTCGCGACTTGCATCCAATATTGCGTGCGCTTTGTAAACCACCTGATCTGTTAATTAGCCTGAATATTTGATAACAAATATAACGCATTATTCTCTGCTCCTGAGAAGTCAATGATAGTTCATATTTGTCTTTTTATCTCACTTGTTTTTGGTGTGGTGGTGGCTTTGGGACCCAGAAATCATAGGCTGAAGGGGCCCCAATTTTCCAAGCCCCTTGTATGGTTCGGATGAGTCAAAGGCCACGTTTTTCACTATTTGTAATATGTAACCAAATAAGGAATTTTTCGGCAAATACTCGCTGGCATAGCTCAGTGGTAGAGCGGAAGATTGCAGTTATGCAACCAATCTTCAGGTTAGTACAATGCTACCTAAGTTCGAAAATAACTTTAAACTCACACTCCGCTTAGGTCATGTGTTCGAACCACATTGTCAGCTATGAAAAAAGTTTTTTTTTATTTCTTCATTTGTTTTGGCTTAATTTTGGTGGAGGTAGTCTTCTTTTCAAGCGAGAACTCGTAGCCTCGCAACTTTTCCAGCCTCGCCACAGGAGCAAGGGTGAATCGCTGTTGTCAGAGGTGAGCCTGGCAACGATCAGGGGTGAATACTAATTCACGAGACTTGAATCAAGTGGTTGTTATTTCAGATAGGCTATGATAAACTGCAGCAGCTGGAACCACTCTTTCGTATGTTTAAAAAATTGACAAGCTAAAGCGGCTAGTTCATAAGGTTTGCAGCTGCTGCAGTTTCAATCGCAAGATGCTGCTTTGACGGGTGATTTGCGGAATCTTCAAAGATCAGCAGCCCAAGAATTGGCAAGCTATATCTTAGCTTGGGCTTCTTTAGCTGTAGCGCGGTGTTACTACTTGCTTGATCTATGCTATTTCTGGGGTTTGCCGATGCCGATGCTACAATACGTAACCCAGAAGTCTAATCGTTTTAGTCATTAGCACTATCAGGAAAGAGATTAACGATCTCGACATGTATATTTGCTTAGATCTAGACGCTATGAGAGGAGGGGCTGAGAATTCTGGACTAACGTGTGAAGCTCAGTCGATAAAGAGGGTCAGTCTCATCATACAGCAGAGTTAGTACTTAGATTTATCATCAGCTTACAAACTCTGTGATTGCTCAGAAGTGAATACTTCGGGGAAGAGGTCCGGGCTGCAGTACAATCCTCCATGTGCGCAACATCATCATCATCATCCATGAGACTGACAGGATTAGCGTAGCAAATGCCACAATTAGGAAGGCTTGATGTTTAGTGTTCTTTTGACCCAGAGATAATTTTTTGGGGGGGAACTGAAGATAGCTGTTTACCTGCTTGGCGACTTTAATGTACAGTATTACTATTTTTCCTGCGCTCTCGAACCAGCGCCAACTCATCCTCAATGAGCAAATGAGGCACGATACAGGTGGTGCAACTCGTACCAAAGATTTTCAAAACTGAACAAACTCGCATTTGCTACTTGCGGTGTTGAACGGTAGAATTGCGCAGTTGTATTTCAAGATTGTAGTGGCGGTCCCATAGCTTAAGCGAAACCGTGAGGCCTAGCCGAGCCCCTTTCCTTCAATGACCTACTTCCTATCTGATCGCCCAATTTGCGGAAATTCATATTCAATAAGGCTTCCAAGCATAGCGAGTGTGCGCTACGAAGGCTACGCCTAGAAACTTTCTAGTCACGATTGGATTATCGTAGCCACACTCGAGCAACCTCCTCCCTTGCTGTCAGATCCTGACGGGTCTCTACTGATGCATGCCTTCCACATCGTCATCCAAATCCCGTTCCAAACAATTTCATAACTATTTTCAATTCTTTTCATAAATTTACGGACTCCAGAATGTTAATATACAGAACAGTGTTGTCTTCGGCTGTCATCTGAAACGATGAAGTGTCCAGGATCAAATTAGCCTAGGCTAAATTGATCACATTCATTTCTCGGAGCTTTCTGAAGGACAGGGTTCCTCAACTTTCTCTTTATTTCAGATTGGAGACTGTATCTCGCTGGATTAATGACCAGGAACTGGTACGCGTCTTTGCAACAAGCAAGTCTTTATTTCAAAATTCTACGTTACGCTCGTCAACAATCTCCAAATTATGTCCTGAAGGCTGCTGTACTGTATAAGAGGAAGAGTATAAGTACAAATTTATGACTCTTTGGTTGGTAAAGGTGTTAAATATGCTGAAATACAAAACTATATATTCTCTTACTGCGGTGGTAATCTCCAAGCAGCTCTGATCCAGTAGTTCAACAACATAAATGTGGTATGTTTTGTTGCTTGTGCGAACGAAGGACTGGTCTCTGAAATGAAGTTAACAATTGAAAATTCAAGGATACTCCGGAGTTATGGGTAAATGTGGTGTGCGAGATCACCTCTCTGTCATCTCGGATATCAGCCAGCACGGCCGCGAAGGCAAATACAACGGGACCACCTTTTAATTGTCGTCTCCACGTCTCCACATCCCCACGTATCCGAAAATTGATTCTTGCTCTTTGTGAAGAGAGAAATGCATCCCCAAGCATTTCGGTCCCGAGAGATCCCCACAGTTCGCTTGGTTAAGCCCGTTGTCTCAGTCTACAACTCCATATCAATCATGAATTCACTAAAAACATGTCATTGCGAGAGTGCAAAAGCTATCCTTAACGAACTATATAAGATGTGCTCATCTCTCTTCGACACGCTCTCATCATCTACACTCATTTGAAAACTGACCAACGCCAAAATGCGTTCCGTCGTTCCAGTCTTCTTGACTGCCTCATTTGCTAGCGTCGCATTTGCGACTACCCTCCAGAGCGTATGCACAATTTCGTATGTCAAGCAGTCACTGCCGTCCAACAACTTTGGGGTGACCATTAATCCAGCCTCCGTCGTCGTCTCCCCGGTCACCAATGCTTCCGTCAACAGTCAGAATTTTTTTCCCAGCGCGCATTTCGACTATTGCAGTGTCACGTTTGCCTACTCTCATGATGGGCTAAATGACTTAGTACATGTAATGTATTGGCTTCCAGCTCCGGAAAAATTCCAGAATCGTTACCTCTCTACTGGTGGTGGTGGTTTTGCCATCAGCTCAGGTACTGGTTCTCTCCCCGGAGGAATTATATACGGTGCTGTTGCTGGAACAACTGATGGCGGGTTCGGAAGCTTCAATACTCAATCCGATGCGGTATTCCTAGTAAAGAATGGCACAGTGAACTTGAAATCACTATATATGTTTGGATACGAAGCACATCACGAATTGAGCTTGCTGGGGAAGGCATTCACCAAGCAATTCTTTAATATGTCTAGTACAAAGCTATACTCGTATTATCAGGGTTGTTCTGAAGGCGGTCGAGAAGGGTGGAGCCAAGTTCAACGGTACGGAGACGAATGGGATGGTGCCATTACAGGCGCGCCTGCTTTCCGCTTCTCACATCAGCAAGGTAAGCATGATTCTTGCAAATCATCCTAAATACTGGTAGCACCTATTCTAACATCCTGTCTTATAGTACAACATCTCTACTCTAATGTTGTTGAGCAAACCCTGGGATACTTTCCTCCTCCATGCGAATTGGAGAAGATCGTGAACGAGACCATTGCCTTTTGTGATCCGCTGGATGGCAAGACCGATGGTGTAGTATCTCGATCTGACTTGTGCAAGCTGCATTTCAATCTCAACTCCACGATTGGCAAGCCTTACTCGTGTGCTGCTAGTTCAGGTTTAATGGGCGGTTTTATGGGCCCTCCCGGAGGAGGACCGCCAAAAGCCAAGAGACAGTTTCCAAATTCCTCCCCCTCTCCTGCGCAGAATGGCACAGTATCTGCCAAAGGAGTGGCTGTCGCGGCCGCGATCACGGACGGCCTCCGTGACTCAAAGGGCCGCAGAGTCTACCTATCATACCAACCAGCTGCGGGGTTTGTAGATGCACAAACACAATACAATGCTGCCACAAACTCCTGGGGGCTGTCTGTCAACGGCATGGGCGCCGAATTTGTTACTCGCTACCTGCAACTTCGTGACACATCTACTATGGCAAATCTGAATGGAGTCACATACGACACACTCAGAGATTGGATCTACGAAGGAATGCAGACCTATCAAGATACTCTGCAAACAACTTGGCCAGACTTGACGCCCTTCCACGAAGCAGGAGGGAAAGTACTTCACTTTCATGGCGAGTCAGATAACAGTATCCCAACCGCCTCATCAGTTCGATACTACGAGTCCGTCCGAAGCATAATGTACTCGAACATGTCTTTCAATGATAGTACCGCTGCTCTTAACGACTGGTACCGACTCTTCCTTGTCCCCGGCGCAGGCCATTGTGGCCCCAGTACTGCTCAGTCAAATGGACCGTGGCCGCAGACGAGCTTGGCTGTCCTGATTGATTGGGTTGAAAAAGGTGTTCAGCCTACCACTCTCAATGCCACAGTACTCCAAGGACAGCATATTGGTGAGCAGCAGCAGATTTGCGGTTGGCCGTTGAGGCCGTATTGGACGAATAATGGAACGATTATGGAGTGCCAGTATGACCAAGCTTCCATTGACTCTTGGCTGTATGACTTTGATGCGTTTAAGATTCCGGTTTACTAGAGATGAAGGTTGCTTCTAGAGAGCTCTAAGGGTGGAAAACGGAGTGAAAAATTTACTAGCTTAAGGAAATCTCTGAGAGAGGTAGCTTCTAACAGCTTTTAAAGTTTTAGATCTTGAATAATTTTTCACTTGTAGTCCGTATTCGATAACTGTTGCGCCAAGAACTCGAATAACCAGTGGTGTAGGCCAGGATTCTGCTCCAAACCATATGAGTCCCTCCTTCCTCCCTATTCAAAATACTGCGATCTTGGCGAACGTATCATCTCCCTCCACCACATCTTCCTCCAAAACATCTACTATAATATTCATGGCCACTCCCTCTATCAAGATACCTTGAGGTCTCTCCTAGGTACCAGCCGCACCATCAATCGATCCTTCCTCCACACCAGGTATACCTTTTGGTCCAACCAATTCTGGCTCTCGTCACACAGTTCGTAATCGAAATTCCAGAGCATGCTAACAAGAATCATGCGCATTTCGACGTACGCCATACTACAAAGCATCTTCTTAGCAAACTTGATGTGATAGAGCAAAACGAGGGTGAACTTACTGTCTACCCATGCAATTCCTTGGGCCGTAAGAGAAAGGCTGCAGAGCAGAGCGATTGTCCGAGTCGAAACCCGTATTGGGCAGAAAACGCTCGGGAATGAACTCATCGGGCTGTTGAAAGTTTTTCTCATTGCGAAAGCAGGCGTAGCCTGTTACGTAAAGTGTGGTCTGGTTTTGGTTCAGCATATATTTTTCTCGATTATTTGTGGGCAGTGAACTGACATTGCCAGGCACGAAGCTTCCACAAATCTCAGCTCCCGTAGGAGGAGTTCTCCTCTGGAAGCCAGTCACGGATGGCGGGTATACCCTTAGCGC